CATCCTGACCAATTTGATGCTGGTGCCAAAAGATTTCCTTATTTGTCAAACCAGAGCCAAAGTATAACTTCACATAATGCTTGACATTCCTCATTTTCTAGGTAGGAAAGGGCCTCTTGTAAGAGATGTCATAAAATACAACTTTATTCTCGTAATTTTAGGACTTTATTCTTGTCATGATGGGTTCACTGAAAGCGACCCAAGAATGCAGAACACCACTGACGGACACAGGGATGAAAGTTTAACAAGTTTATTTATGCACAAGCACACAGATTGTACTGGTTCGGGTTCGGGGCCTGAATACTGGTTCACCGGAGTCTGCGTGAGAGACAGATCAGTTAGAGTAGCCAACAGGGCTTTGATTTCCTGAAGTTCACAGATTGTACCTTGAGGGTTCTTGAGGTTAGCTTTGGGAGAGTCTCTGTTGGATCTGGAGAAGAGTTCATCAGCAGAGTCCGTTTGCTGCTTCAGCGTCTTACGTCTACAATGAACAGACCTTGGCTTTGGGAATCCCAGCTCTAGTCCAGAGCTGCTTGAGGTTCTCTGAGAATTCTTCAGGTTTGGCTCTGAGGGTCGGCTCGGCAGGTTAGCTCCTCCTGAGCTTTCACTGAGGAGACACAGGTTTCCTAGAAGACAGAGACAATGGTTAGAATCCAAGCTGGATTCAAAAGTCATAGAGTTTACACTGAGGATCTAGGCTTAAGCGCTGACCAACTGGAACAACACTGCGGCGTTGAGGCAAGGTCTGAAGACAGCTTAAGTAGTGGATCCTCTGATGATCTTGATGAGCTGCAGCTGTGCAGGAGGCTCCCTCAGAGGATCCACGGCGGACTCTGCTGGAGAAAGGTGGAATTTCTCCAGCTCCCAACAATTCTCTTGATAATACGACTTTATTCTTGTAATTTTATGACTCTTCTCATTGTGAGATTTTTCTTGTAATATTATGACTTTATTCTCGTAATTTAGACTTTATTCTCGTAATTTGTTCTCATAATTTTATTACTTAATCTCATAATGTTAGGAATTTATTCTCGGAATTTTATGACTATTCTCGTTGCGACTTTATTCTCGTAATTTCTAGACTTTATTCTCTTAATTTTAGGACTTCATTCTCATAATTTTATTTACTTTATTCTCATAATGTTACGACTTTATTCTCGTAATTTATGACTATTTTTGTTGCGACTTTATTCTCATCATTTTATAGTCTTAATTCTCATAATGTTATTTGTTTAATATTTATTTTTGAAATAGAAGAAAAAAAATCTCTAGCCTGGCCCTAATACTCCATGGTACTGTGAGAGACATAATCCAAAAAACCTTTGGTTCAGTAGCCTTTGTTTATGTTATTTATTGTTTTGTTATTTTGTATGGGACAGTGCATATTAATGGTCATGAAAGAAAAAAACAGGAATGTAAACACGCCAGATATAGCTAACGGCTTTTCTCCATCTGTTATCCCAAAGGGCGGGGATCACACATGAGTCAGGCAGAGACAGTTACACAGACATATATACATCCACGTTGCACATCCTCCACAATCAAACACTCTGGGCATCGCACATCACCGCTATTTGCACACTTTCCACAAATTGCACATATGAATTATTACACCATGTCCATCATTACAATGTTCCCATTAAAACTCAGTCTACAATATTGCACAATCCCTCTCATACTGGCGATACGTTTACATAATTTGCAGGACAAACACAATCATGCTCTCACACGCATACACAGAATTCTATCCCGGGATAAAAAAAATATAAAAATCATATAAAACTGTATCATCCCTACAAACCATCACATACTTGATTTGGCTACAGCCAATGTTTGGTCTGAGCCTTAAGATCCGTACTTAGGATATTATCTCTTTGTTTGTGGGAGAGTATACACAGATAGCCACCCTGGACAGACAAAACATTTTGCGTATTGAGTATAAACATATCTTCTCTTTCTGTACCTCATGTACTCCTGTCTGAATTATCTTTACATTTAATAAACTCCTTCAGCTGTGTTTTGACCAAAGACTGTGAAAACTATGTAAATCAGGCAAACTTTTAAAATCCACAATGTTATTGAAGTCCAATTTGTAATTACAGAGGTCTAATGTTTCCTCAATTTTTTTGTTTACCAGGTTTGCACATACTGCAGGTGGGATTTTGGCCCTTTCTCCACACAGATCTTCTCTAGATCAGTCAGGTTTCTGGGCTGTTGCTGAGAAACATGGAGTTTGAGTTTCCTCCAAGGATTCTCTATTGGGTTTAGGTCTGGAGACTGGCTAGGACGCACCAGAACCTTGATATGCTTCTTACTCATTGGTTATCCTGGCTGTGTGCTTCAGGTCATTGTCATGTTGGAAGACCAAGCCTCGACCCATCTTCACTGCTCTAACTAAGGAAAGGAGGTTGTTCCCCGAAATCTCTCTTTACATGTCCCAGTTCATCCTCTTCTTAATACACTGCAGTCTTCCTGTCCCATGTGCAGAAAAACATCCCCAAAGCATGATGCTGCCACCGCCATGCTTCACAGTAGGGACACGAGGTGAACCAAGACCAAAAACTTCTACTTCGGGCTCATCTGACCAAACAAACATTCTCTCATTACTCTTCTGGGTTATCCATGGGGTTCATAGGTAACTGAAGACAGGTTTAGAAGGGAAACCTTCCGTGCCACAATTTTTAATAACAATATCATGTTAGTGTATTACCCAAAGTAACCATTAAAACCATGGTACCAGCTCTCTACCGGTGATTGACAGGCTTCTCCCGTGTAATTCTAGGCTGATTCCTTATGTCACATATGAGACTTTGCATGGACCTAAGTCTGAGGGTGATTGACAGTCATGTTTAGCTTCTTCCATTTTCTGATAGTTGCTCCAATAAATGATCTTTTTTCACTGCTGTCATTGGACGGCTCTTTAGTCTAAGCCATATTAGTAGTTTGAGTCTTGTATTCACACCAGCCCTGTTTAGTTCACTTTTATTGGCCCATAGTTTGTTTGGCCAGAAAGTTTGGTTGTGTAAGGAGCTATAAAAGCGCATTCAAACTAGTTTTTTTTCTACTTTCTGCTACTTTAGATCTCCAATGAAATGTAAAATAATAGCAAATATAGCTAATAAGATGTTGAAACTCCAAAAGAGATTTGATCCCTAAGAAACAGGTGCAATACGGTATGTCTGAGTGGAGTTGTCATATGTTGACGTCATAAGAAGGGGCGGGGCCCCGAGCAGGTCTGGTACCTACGCCTGCCCCCAAAGTGAACAGAATATAATCTAGAAAATGTAATAAAAAAAAAGGAGAAATTAGTATAAACCAAGAAAAAAAGAGAAATTTAAAAACAAAAAACATTAAAATATAATTTCTGAAAACATTTTAAAATAATTTTCATCCATTCAAATGTGAAAAAAAATCGTAGAAAAACAGCGTTCCTCTCAAAACCTTTTTTTTTTTGCAGAAATAATGGAAACCAAATTCACTCCATATACCGCAGGCGTCAGGGTGATGGTTATAAGAACAAAATCACTTAAAAAGAAACAAATGAGGTTGAAGAAAGAACACACCTTTATTGGCAAAAAATTATATATTACAGGCAATATATGCAAAATCAAACAAAAGAACTCACACACGAAATACTTAATTCACATCAAACGTGTCACAAGACTTGCGAAAAAATGTCGGGAACACAGGAGATTATTGCTTGAACCAATTCTGTTAAAAAATGCTGTAATATATTAACACAGACTGTAGCTGTGAATGTCAGTGCTCCTGAAACATGGCTGCTCTGGAAGTGGGCTGGGAATATGGTCAACAGGTTTGACTACAGTTCACTAAGAAAAAAAAAGATTTTGATATGAAAGTCTGAAACAGACCTCTTCGAGTGAAGACCGAATGATCTCTGCTGTAAAAGATTTTGTTAAAAACTAGTTTGGGTTTCGTTAAATTATTTTAAAAACGTCTGTTAACGAGGACTCGGTAGCCGTTCTTAGACATAAATGAAGCGGATCAATACATCCACAATGATTAACCCTTTGAGGGCTTTATTTTGCTCTTCAGAAATCTTCACTAAAAACGTCAACATCCTGTTTGACCTCACCTGGAGAAAAAGATGGAAACATAGGAAATGGTTTAAGTTTTAGAAAATATTCCTCACATCCAGTCATCAATGTTTTCAATAATTAACTAATCTTAACTCTAAATGACATATTTATATTATTATATAAAGGGGGAGGGGTTCCGTGGAGAAGATAAAAGCAATTAGCATCTTACTGACATTTACTCTTTAGAGGACGATTAACCGGTCATAACCGGATCCAGAGCGAGGAGGGCCGCTGCCGTTTTAAAAATACAACCCGTTTAACAGATCCTAGCAGAGGTAATGTTTACATTGTGGCAGAAACCCTCCAACGTGTCCACAGTTAGCAACAGACGAGTCAATCAGTCCAGATGTTAATTAGTAAGATGATTCAAACTTAATTCCTTCAATTTCTGTCGAAGTCATGAAGGATTTACCAAATTCAGGTAGGTTTCTAACTACACATCACCTCTTCACATACGGTAATCCCAAACTAGAAAAGAACAAATCTAAACGGTTTCCTCAGAAGGCCTTTCAGCTGAGATTCAGGATGATATAAAAATAAAAAAAAGAACACGCACCAAAACCCCCAGAAAAGACAAGTTTGTACATACAGTATTTCAACAACTACCAACATTTTCTTAGTAAAAATTATTGTCAGAGTCATTCACACCTTTTATTGATTTTTACTCCAAAGCCTTTAAAGACTTTTTAATGTCTGTTACACTTCTTTTAATCGTTCCACAGACTTTTAAGGACTGTTCCTCTTCTGCTAGTCCTCCGGTGTTTGGGACCAGATTCCTCCACAGACTAAATGAGATTAAGATTTTAAACTCCTGTTGGACCAGAGCAGGAATCCTGGTTTTTGTTCTCAGGATCTTTGTTGATTTTCTGTTAAAGTCTTGAAGTATATATATATATAAAAAAAAATAAAAGAAAAAAAAGCTACCTTTCATATTTCGGACATTGAGAAAAATAATCAGAAAATCCTAATGGCATCATGCCCATGCTCCATTTCTCAACTTTTACCAGTGGGGTTATAACAAAGTAATAAAAAGTTAATGTGATTACTATGGGAACAATGCCAAATGCAGTCAAATTAGGTTTCAGTCCTAAAAAAAAAAAAAAGTGCCTACTAAAAATTGTCAGAAACTGCAATAAGTTAAATAAGGCTTAATAGAGCATCGATAAGGAAAAGAAATCAGATTGGACTAAATCTTCTTCAGCACGTACAGAACACAGCAGAGGATCCTTCTCGTAGAGCTGAATCGTAATGCTTGCATAGTCTGACAGAGAGTCCGTCACCGTCGCTTCGTCCTTTTGTTGCTTCACAAACTGTCAAACTTATGTTTTAAATAGTCTTTCATAACTTTTGCAATGGGAAGATCCTCCAGGAATTTCAAGCTCTGAAGGCCGATGCAGTGACGGATTTTTATTCGACACAGGTCTTGGAGACTTCGAGGTTGCCCTGAAAAAGGAAAACAGGCTGTTATCATCAGGAGCCAGATATGCTTTAGAGCAATAAAGAAAATCATCAACCAGTAAAGGTTTGGAGACATTTTTAATTATAATCTGTTACTTTCAACAGAATTTATAACTGAAATAAAATTAGGTGTTTATGCATCCATGTTATACATTAATTTTTTTAAATAAAAAAATATATACACAAAAAAAAAAAAAAAAAGGAATTTTTTTCCATTTTAAAATCTAAAGTGTTTAGAAGTAGAGAAAAACAATTACCGTATTCAGTTTGGTTTATAGACAATTTCCTGATTCACAAATTTTATAAAACACCTGAACTGACTGTTTGTTATTTTTCTTTCTTTTTTCTGTCCTAATGTTGGCAGTGGGCTTTATGCTGCCCTTCAAGGCTTTAAACCTGGGTTTGAATGGAGACTAAGCCATTCTAAAGCACATATCAAGGAGCTCATTTAGAGCCTGGATCCATATTTATTTTTGATTCTGTTCATGGTGGAGAATCCTGCTTCACAGCAGCAGGTTGAGCCAAACATCCTCTAAATGTTCAGGGTCATCTTTGAGCACCATTTCACTTTTCTTTCACCAGTTCACCACAGTTCTTCCAGCAGTCCACACTTTCTCAGCTCTCTTTTTCTCATCTTCTCCTCCTTTCCCATCGCCCGGCTTGCCACATGTTTGCCTGCTGTGTCTAAAAGTAGCAGCAGCAGCAACCCAGACTGACAGCAGCTCATTGGATCACATGTAGCCTGGTGCCAGAGGCTCCGGGGGACTTTACCATATTAACTGGAGAAGCAACGCAAGTGAAATTAGACACTGTTGTCGAACAACATGCAGTCATTTAAAAGTTAATGTGCAATGAATCTAAAATATATGAATGGTCAAGTTTTATCATTACATTATGCAAAATAATGAATTTTATCACAACATGCTAATATTTTGAGAGGGACCTGTATATTGAAAATATACAGGCACCAGGATAATAAAAGCCAATCTGTAGGCAGGTTTCAACATTTTAAGTTAATTTAGGCGTTAATAAACTGTTTCAGAGGAGCGATCACAGCGCTCTGTATCATCAGCGATGTGTCTGTCTCGCTGTCAGCTCCCAGATCAGCTTCTCTGATTGGTTGATGCGGATTGTCGAGCAGCGTCCATCTTGAGCAGCGGCAGCGCGTTTGCGGCGCGTCAAGCGCGTCAGATGCTTAAACGCTCCCGACGCGCTGCTCCAGCTGCTCAGACGCGCTGAGCCTGCTGCTCAAAACGTGCTGCGGGACCTTTTGCTGCGTCTTGACGCGCTTCAACCATTGACTTTACATGTAAACTCGTTGCTTCTGCTGCGCCTGCTGCGTCCGGTGTGAAAGCAGCATTAACGGCCGGTTCACACCGATGTCGAGCGGTTGAAGTTCCTTTGTCAGACCTCCTGCAGTAACAGCAAGCACAGCGTTCACTTGTTTCACCATGTTTTTCACATCGGCTGTGAGATGGGCACGCATGGAGTCACAGATTAACAACGATGGTGATGCGTGGAAAAAAACCACCTGGTCTCCTTACATTCACCTCCCTCAGCCACTCTTTCATCATCTCCTCAATGAGGAGATGAGGAGTTCTGCATAAAGCACATACCTGTTCTTTTATACACAATCCACGCCCACACTTCCCCCTTTAACGTTCTCATGGTGGTCTCAACAACGTCCACAGTAACAACACACATAGGGCGCACCGCACTATAGGGGGCGCCGCACATTTTGAGGGAAAAAAAAAGACGTTTATATGCGCCTTATAGTCGTGAAAATACAGTATTTTCCCTCAAAGTGGATGTGTTTTACTTTGTAACCGCATCTCACTTCCTGTCAGACCCATGGAATTACAGCTGAATTGCTGCGTAATCAAACTAAAATAAACCTGGCGTCTATCTCAGTCGGATCTTTGCAGTCCTTTTGTGTAAAATAATGTCGGGTGTGATCGTCCCCATTGACTTTCAATGAGCACTAAATGCTAAAACCTTGTCCAACATGGTTTTCTGTTCGGATCAGACGCAAAACCAGATTCAGTGTGTTCTGGCCTTAACTCAGGCTGCTGGACAAAACTGGTCTGCTACCAGAACCCTCGGGGTTTTTTCGTTAGCTACACTGTAGTACTGGCTTTGGCCTTCCACTAGGGGCACTAAACCTTCCAGGTCTAGTGCCCCTAGTGGCTTAACATTAAGCAGTGTTGCTTTATTTGCTGCTCTCCACTTTAATCTGAAAGAGAAGATTAGGGTGATGGTAAGGAGACCTGATATTTTAAATAATTAAAATGAAAGATATATAGAGACACCCAGCAAATATAAGAAGCATTAATTGTTGTCATGTCATTAAAGTCGTAGGGAAGCGGCCGTTCCAAAATTTGCATTTCCAAATTCTCCTGATGGGTGAACGACTTTACACGAGTGCATAAAGTGAATGTGATTGGTCGTTTATCAAGGGGGCGGGATTGTTGTGGCGGAAGGTTGGCAAGCATGTTTAGTTGCGGCCGATTTGTCGAGAGCATCTTGCTAACCAGTTAGCAACTTAGTGCTAGTAGGTTCCCAATGGGAAATTCCATTGGGACCAAATAGCACTAAATTGGTGACTTACGGTAGAAATGACACTGTCAAGGAACGCTATGGATAGGAGCGCTTCACAGAGCTTAGAGTATTATGTTAAAAGTTCTCTTTTCTGTTGCTATTGTTCAATAAAAGGACATTTTAAGATAATTTGAGGTGAGAACATTATAATTGTAAGCATCAGTATATGGCCCATTTACTGATTTGTTGCGTAATTTAAATAAAAATGTTCCGAAGTTGAGAGGACCGCGGCAACCAGCAGCCAGGGCTAACGTTAGCCCGTCTGCAGCAGCCCTCTCTCTGCATAGCCTTGTGTGAAGGACCGCTGGCTCTGATGCAAAAATTTTTTTTTATTTAGCAAAATGTTGGTTTGATATGTGGTAATTATTCACTAAATGAAAAAAGTAATAATATATTATTATCTAGAGACTATTAAGGAGGAGGTGAAATGCAGCTCCAGACGAGCTGAGCGTGTGGTGATGTCATCCAGTTGACCCAGATTTATGCTGCGTGCTCCCGTTCTCCCAGAGTCCACACTTTCCTTTGTTCTTCTCAAGAACATACTTGGCGAGGACACAAGTCCGTACTCACGTTCTTGTGAATTGAGGAAAGGCCAACAACTCGCCCTCCCAACTATACACCTGTAACGGTCACCACTACTCTGCAAAGATTCTTATTTCAACCATCGCATATATTAGCTGAAACACGAAAAAATTTGATTGACAGATGACGATGTATGTTGGGCTGAATTTAGGTGTTCAGGCTGACGTACAACTAACTGGCCTGCATAAGATAATGAAAAAACCCCACAGATTTTAATTTCTGTTTTTTAAAAACAGAAATTTTCAGAATTATGGGACAATATCATCTGATAAAGAGTACATTTATATACATGTTTAAGCCAGAATGATTTGACATTTAAATATGATTTCCTTACGACTTTAAAGAAGCTTCATCGATTATTGATTAGGGTAGACTTCATTTGAATAAATCTTATTCCCCAACTAAATTCTAGACTTAATGTATTCATTTTCTGATGTAAATCATTTTGGGTATAGCACTAAAATAAATGTACAGTCCCATTTCACACAGTTTTATCTGCCATGTAAGCCTGAAAGGGAGCAGAGCGAAGACGTACAGCGGCTGGACAGAGCAGTGCGCCCGTCAGTGGGAGGTGCAGCGTCCCTTTCATGTCAGGAGCTGAGGTGTAATCAGTAACCCTGTAGATATGTGATCCGGCTGAAGATCAGGGGTCCCTGAAAGGCCCCGTCTGAAACAGCGCTCAGCCCTTTGTTATCTCTGATATCAAAGATCAGGCGGCCGTGGAGGAATGCAGCCATTGTTACGTCTAACGCAGAAGCTGATATTGTCCTCTGATCCTGGGGATGGACTCCTCCCTGCACTTCATAGCGAGACCCCTTCTGTTTGGGTCTTTTTAATGATAAAAGGAGACCGGGTGGATTACTTTAGATGGGGCTGTTATCCGTCGACAGACATTATGACTGTCCTATTGACTGGAACTAATCGAACATGATTTATCTTCAATTCTTTTTAAATTATTTCCTTTTAACTGTTCTTGAAAAATTATAAAGATTGCTGATGGACAGCCCTGCAATAGACTGGTGACCTGTCCAGGGTGTACCCCACCTCTCCGGGAAAACTGAACCCGATCGCTCCAGACACAATCGAACCGCGCTAACATGGTACTAGATCAGTTCTGCCTCAGTTCTTGTTTTTCTTGCCACTTCTACAAGCGATGAATGCGACCTGGCCGTTCAGACACAAGTCGCATTGGAAAAGATCAGATTCGTATCGGATTCAGGACCACAGAGCCAAGCGGCCTGGGTCGCATTGGAACAAATCGGATCTGTGTTGTTCAGACTGCAATGAAAACATCAGATCTAGGTCGCATATGGGCAAAAAAAAACAAAACATAAATCATAACATGTAGGCGTATCACTGTCCCCCAGACATCCACAGTTATATTTTCTATATTTATATCTTTTAAAAACATGTATGATGTAATCCGCGTGCCGGCTACCATTCATTCATTCATTCATTCATCCTGTCCGCTAAACTGCTGCTAGTTTTACTCACATGCCTGGAAGATGTCTAGTGCTACTACCACAGATGATCTCGCTGTGGAGAATGAAATTGAAGGATTCAGATTAGTTCGGCGAATGAATAGAAGGGGTAGAGCGTAGCCGCCTGTGGCCCGGGCTGCCTGTCACAACTCCAGTCCGGTGCGGGGATAATGTCATACACACTCCGCTTTGTTTTTGAAAGATATAATTATAAAAAATATAACCGCGCATATCTGGGGGACAGTGATTCGCCTACATGTTATGAATGCTGGCATACCATAAATGATAAATTATGAACAGTTTAGTTTGTGCCTTCAACTCGTT